GGGGGGGGGGGGGGGGGCTGCTCCGGGGAGCTGGGTTCGGGCTGGGGGCGGGCTCAGGTTCCATCGTGGTCCCGGCTCACGCAGGAAATAGACGGCCCCAGTTCGGTCCCTGTGTCCTGGCTGCCCCAGAGCCCCAGGCCCAGCGCGACCCCAGCAGCTGTGGGGGGGTGGGAATGGTCTGGACCCCTGTGCCAGGCTGACACTGGCCCCCAGATCCCTCCCCAGCCCCATAACATTAACTCAGACGGGTCCGTTCCTGCCTGAGCTGCAAACTCCTCCCCCTCCCCCACTACTGCTGCAGCGACGCATTGGGGGTGGGGGGCAGGATAGTGCATTGAGTGGGGGCCCCCCCAGCCCCCTGTGTGACTCTGGCTGTGCCTTTCCCGGCAGCAAACACAAGACCCTGGCTCTGATCAAGGACGGCCGGGTGATCGGGGGCATCTGCTTCCGGATGTTCCCCACCCAGGGCTTCACGGAGATCGTCTTCTGCGCCGTAACCTCCAACGAGCAAGTGAAGGTGAAGGCAAAACTGCAGCTCGCCTGGGGGGGCAATGAGAGAGAACAGCGGGGAGCTGCAGGTCGGGATTGGGGAGCCTAGGGCTGGGATAGCAGGGGGCTGCAAGTCAGGAGTGAGGAGCCGTGGCAGAGCAGGGGGGAGCCCAGGGCTGGGATAGCAGGGGCCAGCGGGCTGGGATTGTGGGGTGCTGGCAGAGAGTTTTGGGTGGGGAGCCCAGGGCTGGGATAGCAGGGGGAGGCTGCAGGCCATGGCTCTGAGGCTGCACTAGCTGCGAGGGAGGCAGGAGCTGATGCTTTACCCCAGGGCCGGGCCGGGGACCATGTTTAACGCTGGCGGTTCCTGCGGCCGAGCAATCGCTCTGCTGGGGTCGTTCCCCAAACACGTCCCGGGGCAGGGCCAGCCTGGGGCATCTCCCCACAACCCCTCCCTGGGAGACTGAGCCCTGCCTGCCCCGGGGCGCCTGCCTGACGGGCGTCTGTCTGTCTGCCTGCCTCCCAGGGGTACGGGACGCACCTGATGAACCACCTGAAGGAGTATCACATCAAGCACAACATCCTCTACTTCCTGACCTACGCCGACGAGTACGCCATCGGCTACTTCAAGAAGCAGGTCCAGCTCCCGGCGCCGCCTGCCCCCGCCCACCTGGGGGAGTGTCCTAATGCCTGCCCTCCCCCCCTCCCTTACGTGGTGTCGCTCGCTCTCACAACCCCCCTTCCTTTCCAGGGCTTCTCCAAGGACATCAAAGTGCCCAAGGGCCGCTACCTGGGCTACATCAAGGACTACGAGGGGGCGACGCTGATGGAGTGCGAGCTCAACCCCCGCATCCCCTACACCGAGCTCTCGCACATCATCAAGAAGCAGAAGGAGGTATCTCCTGGGGGGGCGGGGGGGGGGGCTCCGCTCAGCCTGGCTCCTCGCGCCAGCCCCGCCCGCGCTGCCGTATCCCCTTGACGCTAGTGCGGGGAAAGGGGCAACGCTGCCGGCCCAGGAGGCCGCTGTCCTGGGAGCACCCCTCTTGGGCACCGTCTCCATGGCCCACGCAGCTCCCAGCATGGCTTTGCCATGTGCGTGCTAGTCACGGTCCAGTTCCTCCAGGCCAGCGTCCGGCTGCGACACAGCACCCGCCTCCGTTCAGACCCGGAGCTGCTGCCTGGCTCTGGCTCGCCCTGGGCAAGCACTGCTTCCCTGCCCCTGGGCACAAGGCAGCCTTCAGGGCCCGCAGGCACGGCCCTGCGCCCGGCTCCCCCGCAAAGGCCTGAGGGTGAGGGGAGCGGGCCTGGACCAGCCAGACTCTGCCCTCGCCGGGCCTTCCCCCGCTCGCTTCTAGCCTCTGCCGCTCCCACTGCAGATCATCAAGAAGCTGATCGAGAGGAAGCAGGCTCAGATCCGCAAGGTCTACCCGGGCCTGACCTGCTTCAAGGAGGGCGTGCGGCAGATCCCCGTCGAGAGCATCCCTGGGATCAGTAAGTTTGGGCCACAAACATCTGCCACCCCGGCAGCAGGGCAGGGCTCTGACAGCTACCCCTGCCCCCCAGAGCCTGTCACTGCGGCTGTAGCTACACCCCTAGTGCCTGTGCGCTGCACCACCGCCACACCTGTAGGCAGCCGGTGTCACCTTGCGAATAGTCTCCGCTGCAGGCAGTGCTGCTGCCACCTTGTGGCCAGGCTGTGCCACTGCACTATCCTCTGCGGTGTGCAGCATCCGAAGGGTCCGGGTCCGGGCTGAGACGTCCAGGGAGCGGTGCCCTTGTACTGGGAGGTGAGGCTGGGCAGCGGCTGGCTCCGCCCTTAATGCAGGAACAAAAGCAGGCGCATCAGGAAAGAGCAGAGGGGTCGAATGGCTGCAGCCCGCCGCCTGGCAGTGGCTCTGATCTGTGCATCCCAGCCTCGGCTCTGTGCTGGACTAGTACAGCTCCGGGCACATCTCCGTGGAGCAGTGCGTTCCGGGGGCAGCGGAGGGGTGGTCGTGGCCCTCACTGCCAGGTTCTGGAGGGCTGGGACGAGCAGCTCGGAGGCAGCGGAGGCAGAGTGCTGCCCAGGGACTGCGCTTGGGGAGGGGATTGGGACTCGGTGGATGGCATGTGAGCCAACGCCTCTTCCTGCCTTCCAGGAGACACGGGATGGCGGCCGCTGGGGAAGGAGAAAGGGTAAGTGCCGTTCCCAGCCCTGCGTCCGTTGCCGCTGGCCCGGGGAGCTCACCGGGGTACTGAGGGGGGGGGGATCAGCAGCACAGGTGTGATATCCCACCCCTGTCAGCAGCCCAGGCCAAAAGGGGCGATTGCCTGAGCCCTGGTGCTGGCTCCCTGGCCTGGCAGACAGTGCAGGGATGGCACGTGGCTGTAATCCATTCTCAGCATCCCAGCCGGGTCCCCCGGGCTGCCAGACCTCGAGGCAGCAGCATCCTTGGGGCGTCTGGGCCATAGCTGTGTGGGAGCAGCCGTGACACACGTGGTCTGAGGCTGGTCACGCTGCCCCGGGGATCCCTCGTGTGGCTCTGTCCCTGGCAGGCTGCTGCCCCCAGCACAGAGGCAGCGTGTCCTGAGTGCCCTAGAGCAGCCTGCCCAGGAGGGAGGGCCAGGGGCTTGCCCAGCCACGAGAGCTTGGTGCCTGCTCACCTACAGGTGCTGGGAGGGGACAAACGCGGTGGGTGCTGACCTCATCTGACCCTTTCTCCGGCAGGAAGGAGCCCAAGGACCCAGACCAGCTGTACAACACCTTGAAAAACCTCCTGGCCCAAATCAAGGTGCCGGGGCAGGGGCGGGCGGCTCCCCTGGGGTCTCCCTCTGGGCACCGAGAGCTGCTGGAGGCTAAGACCTCGCTGGGTAGCGAGAGCTTCAGTGGGTCCATTAGAGCCTCCACGTCTGGGCACAAGCCGGTCGCCAACTGGGGGCTCTGGGCGGGTTCTCCCAGCTCCATGGGGTGTCTGGGGCCAGCAGCCGGTTCTGATCCGTGGCCCCCGAGCCCAGGGCATCTCGCTCTGTCTGAGCTCCCTGTGCTCAGGGTGGGGGCCAGGAGCCACGCACCTCCCGGGCCTGGTTCTAGAAGGGGGGCTGGCTGTGCAGCGGGAGGGGAGTCCAAGCTGTCCCCTATGTGTGAGTCTCTGACTGCCCCTTGCCCCCCCCAGACACACCCCAGCGCCTGGCCCTTCATGGAGCCCGTGAAGAAGTCGGAGGCCCCCGATTACTATGAGATCATTCGCTTCCCCATTGGTAGGTGGCCGATCTGCCCGAGGCCCACGCGGCACGGGGAGGGCCGCACGCCCTGGGGGGTGGGGTGAGCATGGGCTGTGTGACGTATACATTGGCAGTGGGGGACCGGACTCCTGGGAGGGAAGTGAAATCTAGTGGCTGGAGGGGGGCTGGGTTCTGCCCTCTCCTGTGGCAGGGGTACAGGGGATTCTAGTGGCCAGCGCAGAGGTGGGGAGCCCGGACTCCTGGGTTCTGTTCCTGGCTCCGTCACTGACTTGCTGCACCCACATTTCCCCTCTGCGGGGCTGAGGGCGCTGGGACCCGAGGTGGAGGGTGGGGGGGGACCTAGCCAGCTGCGCGCTGATCACTGCCCCCCGCAGACCTGAAGACCATGACCGAGCGCCTGAAGAATCGCTACTACGTCACCAAGAAGCTCTTCATCGCCGACCTGCAGCGCATCATCACCAACTGCCGGGAATACAACCCCCCCGACAGCGACTACTGCAAGTGCGCCAACACCCTCGAGAAGTTCTTCTACTTTAAGCTCAAAGAGGCTGGGCTCATAGACAAGTAGGGTCTCGGGGGGGGGCCTGGCGCTCCAGCGTCATCTCCTGGCCTCACTCTCCCCTTGTATCCGGAGCCCCCGGCCGAGGCATCGCTTCCTGCCTCACTCTCCCAGGAGGGGGCTCTTGGGCTTCTCTGAGCCCGGCTCAGCTGCTGACAGGTGGGGCAGGGCAAGGGGCACGGGTAGCTGCTGAACGACCAGTGTGTGGGGCCAGCTCCCCTCCCGCTGCTAGGGGAGACCCCTGGGACACGCTGGCTCACCCCTGGCCTCTGCCCTTGGTGCCAGGGCTGCGTTAGCCACCAGGGCCCCTCTGCCCCAGTCCAGCTGGCACTCAACCTGGGGTGTCTCCGCCCAAACTCAGAGCCTCGCCCTGGAGGTGGGAGCCCGGGCAGCCTGGCCACAGGGCGCTCTTGGCTCTGCAGTGCGTTCAGCCGGGGCATGGACCCGCTGGGCTTGAAATTCCAGCTGGGCAGCACAGGCTCCGCCCCGGACGAGCCGCACCATGTCTCTCCGGCCCGGGGGTGTACGCGGGTGTTGGCCAAGGCTGCCCCATGCCCCAGGGCTCTGCACACGTACGTCTCTGCTTTACGGGGCCGAGGCCCAGCCCCTGCTCCCCCCAGAGCCCAGCTGCCTGCTCCAGCCCCACTGCTCCTGCCGCAGCCGCCTGTGTTCCCTTCACTCCTGTTCCTGCCCACAGGGAGCATCCGTCCCTGCCACTCACCGCATGAATGTAAAACGGGGGTCGGCGTTCTCCTCCCCTGCCGGCCGGGGGGCTGCGGGGACGGGAGCTGCCCCCCTCTGGCCTTGCCTGGGGTCAGGCTCTTGGCTGCAGGCTGTGCTAGGTGGAGATGATCGGAGGGGTCTGGATCAGCTCTCAGCCATTCCTTCCCCCCGCAGCTCGGCCTGGGGCCGCTCCTCTGTCCTCTCCTGCCCCCGGCGCTGCACGGTCCCCTCTGGCTGGGCCCTTGGCTGTCAGTCCTGCCCCAGCCTTGCTCCCTGGGCTGAGCTAGCGTTAGCCCCTGCACTGTCCTGCTGGGGGCCGTCTGTGCTGCACCAGGGTCTAACCCCCATCTCCCCTGCTCTGTGCCCCAGGGGTCCTCCCAGCTCCAGCTCACAGCGCTGCAATCCTGAGCCGGGGGGTGGGGGGGAATGCTATGCCCCTCTTCATGCCATGGGGCGGTGCCCCTACATGTCAGTGGGGCTTGGGCTGCAGGGCCTGGGGCAGGGCAGGGTTCTCCTGGGTGGGGCATTTCAAAGGGGGGGGGGGGGGGGTGACAGCTCAAGGGAATTGGGTCCCAGGCTGGAGCCCCGTGTTGTGCCGGGGTGAACAGAGCGGTTAGTTTGGCAAGCGGCTAAACCAGGCCCCCTCCCTGCTCTTTCCTCGGGGGCCTGACTGGAGTCACCTGGGCAAGGGGATTATGGGGCTGCGTCTCCCTGCCGCACAGCTGGGTTACTGACCTATCCTACAACCCCTTGGGGAACAGCCTTCTGCCTCCCCTCCGTGGCAGGGGGCCCCTGAGTCCTGGCAGAGCGACAGGCCCCCTCTGGCTCATTGGCACCTCCCTGTGGTTCAAGCCTCTGCAACTCCTGGCCCGTGGCGTTCTCTGGCTCCTGGCTGATGGCGCTAGACGCAGGCAGCGAAGATTTCTCCCCGCAGTGGAACGGATGGAAGAACAGCCAGGCCGTGGAAGCATTTTGCTGTCATGTTCCCTTCACCCTTCCCCCAGACTGGTCACTGTTGCCTTATTCCCCCCATGCACTGGCCTGTCCCTTGTGTGCTGCCGTGGGCCCTTCCCATCTCCCCATTTCATTTTTATTTTCCTTTATTTTTATTTTTTTTAAATAAATGTACATGGCCCCAGTGAAGCACCTGTCTGTCTGTCTCCTGGTGTCCTGGGCCCCACAGCAGCAAGGCATTGTGGGTGGGTAGCCCCCCCGAGATGAGCATGGTGCTGCTGTGTGCCAGACTGTCACCCCTTCCTCTGACAGCAGTGCCACCCCCTCTGCCCAGCTGCAGCAGGAAGCAGTGAGCGCCAGCCCTGGAGGTGGGCAAACCGCCTGCCAGACGATCCCTTCTCTCACCCCCAGCCGGGGGGCAACTCCCCCTCGGCCCTGACAACGCAGGGAGCCCAGGGCATGGAGCACGTGCTCTACGGTGCCCGGTGCCCCTGGGCAGCTCAGAGTTCAGCGTGGCGCTGGTTGGGGCTAGGACACAGACCTGGGCGTGGGGGTAACAGTACCATCGGCTGAGGCCAGCCGTGGCTGCGCTCTGGGTGGGGTTAGTGCCTGCCGTGTGGAAGCCGGAGTCCCGGCTGGCTGCTCCCCCAGGGGGATGAGGGTACAGCAATGCCATGCCCTCCTCCCCCTGGCACACCTGGTAGCTGGAGCTAGAGTCTTGGGCCCATCTATTGTACCATGGGGCCGGCCCCAGCTGAGTTCAGGGCCCTGGTGTGCCAGGTGCTGCCCCAGAGCTCCCAGTCTCAAGCCGAGCCGGGGGGACGGGACTTGCCCAAGGTCACACATGAGGGCCAAAGCAGAGCTAGGAATTGAACTCCGCCCACTGCATCCCATGGCTGCTGCATGTGGTGAGTGGCTAAGTGCAGCAGCGTAAGGACGAAGGCGACGGCCGGTGACTGTGCACAGAGATCTCTGCTGGCGGGTGCCGCTAAACACCAGCCCGGTCAATATGGCTGGGCCAAGGCATCCTTCATTCAGGCTACATCGGAGGAGCAATTAAATACCCCAACATGTAGTGATAGCTGGAAACAATAGGAGGCCACCACCCATGTCACTGGGCCACAGGCTGGAGCTAAGTGGTGGGGTCTGAGAGGTTTCCTCAGGCCTGTTTGCAGAGGCAGGGGGCCAGGGCTGGTTGGTTGCAGCTGTGTGCGAGAGAGAGCAGAATGCCGAGAGAACGGTGGGAGAAGCAGTGGAGAGCGTGGCCCTGAGTGGTAGCCAAGACCGTGGCCTGGTGCATGGGGCTGGCTGGGAAAGGGTGAGGCAGGAGCCAAACTGCCGCTATTTGTTTCCTTGCGATTCAGGGCCACACTGGGTCAGACAAAGGTCCATCTAGCCCAGTGTCCTGTCTGCCGACAGTGGCCAATGCCACGTGCCCCAGAGGGGATGAACAGAACAGAGAATCATCCAGTGATCCATCCCCTGTCGCCCAGTCCCAGCTTCTGGCAAACAAGGATAAGGACAGCATCCCTGCCCAGCCTGGCTAACAGCCATTGATGGACCTATCCTCCATGAACTTATCTAGTTCCTTTTTGAACCCTGTTACGGTCTTGGCTTTCACAACATCCTCTGGCAAAGAGTTCCACAGACTGACTGCATTGTGTGAAGAAATACTTCCTTGTGTTTGTTTTAAAGCTGCTGCCTGTTAATTTCCTTGGGTGACCCCTAGCTCTTGTGTTATAAGAAGGCGTAAATAACACTTCCTTATTTACCGTCTCCACACCAGTCATGATTGTATAGACCTCTATCATCTCCCCCTCAGCCGTCTCTTTTCCAGGCTGAACAGTCCCAGTCTGATTAATCTCTCCTCAGACAGCAGCCGTTCCAGACCCTTCATTATTTTTGTTGCCCTTCTTTGAACCTTTTCCAATCCCAATAGCTCTGTTTTTTGGAGCTGGGGCGACCACGTCTGCAGCACTATTGAAGGGGGTACCCTGGATTTATACAGAGGCAGTATGATATTTTCTGGCTTATTATCGATCCCTTTCCTAATGAGTCCCACCATTCACTTTGCTTTTTTAATGCTGGGCCCCCAGGAAATTGCTGGACCGTCTGCTCCTGGGGCTAGCGGGGGCAGGCCCTGCCTGGGGGCTGAGCTCGGGGTGGGGCTGCCCTGGTTTCTGTGTCTAGCACTGGATTCAGTTTCGATTTCTGTCTATGACAGCTTGGCTGAGGGATCCCCGAGGGGGACTCCAGCCGGCGCAGCGACCGACCGCGGATTCACTGTGGTGTAGCCGAGCCCTGCGCTGGGCTCGTGTCTTGGTCCGCGGATCCAGGTCAGTGTCATTGGGGTTAAACGTGCCCGGCACAGGGGGGCTGGAATAATGTGTGTGTGTGGGGGGGGGGGGGGGGGGGCCAAGGGGCCATGGGGCCAAACGGTAAACCCTGGATATAAGGGAAACCACTCAAGCCGGGGGGGGGGGGTGCTGCAGCCCCTCCCAGCCCCCCCAGTTCCAGCACCCCAGCCTGGAGCCGCAGCTGCCAGGAGGCGGGTGGCCAGGCTCCGGGGAGCGGAGCTGCTGGGAGCCCCCTGGCTGGGCCCTCTGAAGGGTTTTGCTTTCAGGCTCTGGGGGTCTCGGGTGGGGTGGGCAGATCCCCTGGCAGAGGCAGCAGCTGCCAGGCCACGGGGGAGCAGGCGATTCGCCCGGGTCCGTTTGCCAGCGGGGTGATTCTGGGCGGAGAGGGGCGCTGCTGGGCGAGAAGTGCCCGCCTGCTTCTGCCACCCACCCCTGCCCTTGCCCTCTGCCTGGGGGTGCCCCAGGGGCCGCTGGCTGGCACAGGCATCCTGCCCAGGCTCACGGGCGCTGGGGGGTCAGACGAGCTAACCCTGCGGGTGCAGGGTTCTACGGTGCGGGGCTGGGGGCAGCGCTGGGCGGTGGGTGACTCAGTGGCCCAGGCTCCTGTCTGACCTGACCGGTCTCTGCCTGCACGGAGCTGGGGCTGCCAGGCGGGGGGGGGGGGGGGGGGGGGGGGGGGGCCGGGGGGGGGGGGGG